TATCTCCAGCCTCCCCTGGGATCTGGTCAAAGCTCTGCCGGAGGTGGGAGTTGAAGTTCTCTGACAGGGGATTCTGCTAAACGTTCCCAACAGACCCTCACAATACGTTTGGGTCTGCCGAGTCTGTCCAGCTTCCTCCCCCGCCATCGGATCCAGCTCACCACCAGGTGGTGATCAGTTGACAGCTCCGCCCTCTCTTCACTCGAGTGTCCAAGACATACGGCTGGAGGTCAGATGAAACAACCACAAAGTCGATCATCGACCTCCGGCCTAGGGTGTCCTGGTTCCATGTGCACTGATGGACACCCTTATGCTTGAACATGGTGTTCATTATGGACAAACTGTGACTAGCACAGAAGTCCAATAACAAAACACCACTCGGGTTCAGATCGGGGGGGCCGTTCCTCCCAATCACGCCCCTCCAGGTGTCACTGTCGCTGCCCACGTGGGCGTTGAAGTCCCCCAGTAGAACAGCGGAGTCCCCAGTCGGGGCCTTTTCCAGCACCCCTCCCAGAGACTCCAAGAAGGCCGGGTACTCTACACTGCCATTCGGCCCATAGGCACAAACGGCAGTGAGAGACCTATCCCCGACCCGAAGGCGTCTACTGACGATTGTTATTTAAACCTTTCTGTTAAGTAAAAACCATCTTCAACCAAAATTAATGCTATCCTAATATTTGGGAAAAAGGGCAGTCGGGAAATAGGATCCACATTTGTTTTGGAGCTGTATGTGTTGGTCCGAAAGCCATACACCTGGCCACGCATTACCACACCCAGCCCCTACATTAAAATATCTTTGAGCAGAATAGCTTGCTAGCATTTTGCCAGTTAGCAAAACACAATACCAGTAAGACGATGTCAGAGGAGCCTACATCCTACTGAATCAGTTGTGCCAGGCACCATCTGTGAACATATGATATCTGTATTCATTTCTGGGAAATCCAAATTACCCCCTGTTTTTTCATGCATTGTTGAGGGCAGACCATAGATGATGTTTAAACCATTTGTTCTGAGATAGGTCTGTGAATTAAGTTTGTTATTGCTTCTACTTCTTTTTAAAGAAAAAGCGCTACATAATCATAAAGAGGAACACAATCATACCTGGTGGCTTAACAGTTCAACCAGGGGCACATTCATCTGCACTGCGCTTTGGTTCCAGGGTTCAGGATAAAGCTACAAGTCTCACACTGCCCTGTCCATCAAATGGAGGATAGAGGATAGGTTGGCATCAAATGAGTTATATCTGTGATAGTAAACAACCAAACTGTCTATATTCACCAATAAATTACAGTATGTGAGAAATCAGCATTGTCAACATACCAGGCAGACTAACAGTTATGATGAAACGCATTTTGATGTGTTGTAAGATTTTTACTTCTCTTGAACAAGTCTTGTGTTATAAATTATGTTTTGTTGTGTGTGGAACCCAGGAAGACTAACTGCTATCTTGGTGGCATCTATTTGCCTCAGCCTCTCCGTGTGCTGCTCTGTTTCTGTCTTTTACACACGAACACAAACACATGACAAACATGATGACGGACCGAGATTCAAATAAAGGATAAAGATCCATTTATCTCAACAACCACTGGATGAAATTTGGCTGAAATAATACATAAATACATAAACATGGCACCAGAAGAAGATTTTTGTCATCTCCTGTGCTTCCACTTTGTGTCATAATTACTTCAACAATCTCCCCATTTGTTTCTTGACAAAGTGTCTAAAACGTCAGTGACTGAATGTTAGAATCCAACCTCATCATTTTGCCAAGCTTTTGGTGTAATAACTGGGGATTTGTACTCCCATAACTGCAGCTCAGATTGTTTGACAGCTCCTTCAAGGAGCTGATACTTTTTTAATCAAATCTATCTGTGGAATAATTAACTATGAACGGTCAATTTACTGACATATTTCTCACTGAATATTAGTAATGGATATTCATGATTCTGTGGAGGATGAACTTTACTTATTAATCACCAGAATAAAAATGACAGCAGTGGTAGTTTGTTCAAATACTTTAAACAGTTTTCAGTGTTTCAAAGACTTCTTGCAACTGTGTGAATAATGACTGTTGTCTCCCAGAAACAAAGACAGGAGCAGGGTGTCTGATATACTACCACAAAACCTTGTTGGGAGCAGGCTTGCATCAGTCTCGTTTTTGTAAAGCTCATTTGTAACACTTATGGAATCTGAATTATCCACTTGTAGAGCAGTTCATGTGCATCTATTGTGCATTTATGCTATATACAGAGTGCTAACCTCAGCAACAGCTGTATTCTAACATTAGCATAGCTAGCCTTACTAGCTTGCTAATAGCATTGGAAGAATTGGATTTCCATGACTGTTAAAAAAACTAACACAGAGAGGAGCTGTTCACAGACGGTCCGTCGTCATGTTTGTCATGTGTTTGTGTGCTTGTGTGAAAGACAGAAACAGAGCAGCACACGAAGAAGCTGAACGAATACACACACTATGCACAGCACTACATTGAAACAAGATTTAACCTATTTAAAATCAATATCTGGTGGTCAATGTTGATATTGTGGAGGCCCGCCACAAATAAATCAATGTATGGGAAACACTGTGGCATGTATAAATACAATTATTTTTTTAAATTAAATGTGTTTATTGCATGTTCATGTCACTATGACGATGAAAATACAATTTATTGGTGAGCACTAATTTGTGCATGATTTAAATTTGTGAATTTATTGTATGTTTAGGGTTAGGGTTATATTATCATGCAGTAATAGGGTCAAGTAATATAGCACATAAAAATATACTACATTTTTGTCACAGGACCCTAATGCAAAATAATATAATAATTTTAACAAACTTTCAGTTGACATAAATAACTGTTATAAAGTGACCTCAACATAAACATTTACACTGAAACAAACCCGTTGAAACTTTTCAGTGAGTACAAAGGATGTTATCAACATCCCCCCTCAAGGAACTGCCTGTGAGGCTTTAGACCTTTAGGTAGATCATGACATTGCTTTTTGCAGGGAAGGAACAGGGACTTTTGCTTCTTGTTTGTCAGGCCTGATACCTCCAGTCAAATCATCTCCTCTGACCTTTCGAGAGTCTTCAGTTAGGTCTTACCCATTTTATTTTATGCACAATGTCATCCTCAAGCTATGAGGTAGCAGTTGAGAACATGTTGTTGTACACATGCAGAGCTACCAGTGGGGTGCCTTGAACTAATCAGAGCTGCTCTCTGGTGCAGAAGAGATCTTGTCTCTACAATGTATGCATGTATATTTTATGAAAATATAAAAATATAAATATCAAATATATAATTTTTTCCTCAATTGAAGCACATAAGAAGACAAATAGATCTTGGCCTTCTGTGATTCATCCACACTACTGTAAAAGAACATATTTGAATATACAAGATTTAAACAGGCTTAGTCATACAATAATGTCCATATCACCTCTTTCGTCGTGCAGCAGAAGGATCAGTGCCACAAGCAGGCTGGTAGTTTTCTCTCTACCTCCACATAAATGTGTCATTACTTGCTGAACTAACAAACACAAGCTTAGGGTTAATTTTGTACCATTGCTTGTCTGTCTCTGTCTCCTACCTCTCTGTTGCTACTGTGCCTGCTTTGCATTCTGAATTCACTAAGTAAACCTGATTAGCTGAGCTGCCACTGCCAAATTCACTCCTCATGTCTAAAGATGATCTTTTTTCTCTCTCTCTCTCCTCATTTTCCATTCCTCTGCCTTATCTTTCAAACAGATGAATAGATGATGAGTTCTGACAGGCCTATTTTTACCAACAGAGAGCTGCTTTAGTGTTTCTTTGGTTTACTGACTGCCAAAGCCAAGAATCCTTCAGTGAGGGCAGTTTTCACTTTTACTGCTTCCCCCCTCAACTAAAACATCACAGCTTTGAGTTAACTAAACAGTCAAAGTCAAAATCTTTTAATACCATAGTTTATACATACATTTTGATATATTGTAATTGTACATTTAATGATTAATATATTTTATTATTACATTATCCCCACATATATACAAGTTTTATACTGCACAATGATCAACTGTTAATAATCTCATTATGATAACTTTTTAGTGAATGAATTACCTGTATATATTACAAACTCAGTTAAAATTTTTAAAGCATAAAGTTAATATGATAATATATGCAGTTTGAGTTATGTAGTGTAATGTATTAAAGTCTAATATTGAAGTGTTTTAAAGCTACCTTTACTTCCTGTAGCATTTATAACTCAGTACATTCAGGTTAATCATGATAAAAAAAAATTAAAAAAAAATCACAAAATTATGGCAATCAACAGAAATACACACAGTAATCATACATACTGTGGTCAGGCAATACTTATTAAATTTTATATGTTTCTAATCACGTGCAGTGTTTTCCATTGCTCAGTATCTAGTGGCTGTTTAAATGAAGGCTGCTCTGATTTTGTGCAGAAGTACTATCAAAAGTGATTAAGCTCACACAAAAGTAACTTTTTTTCTCTGATTTGAAAACTGGGCCAGTGTTTGGCACCGTCAGCAATTTCTCCACACACACACCATAAAACTCACCAGCCAGACAGATGGAATCCCTCACTGTTTGAATTTCATCTGTGAAAATGGTTTATTTAAATATTATTCTGATATTTTCATTATAATACAAACAGTTGAAATGTTCCAGTACAGAAGCCTCACACAATACCAAAGAAAAGAAAATTATAATTCATCAGAATTTTTGAAAGCTCAACAAACAGACAAGACTGCACTGAAATGAAATACATTAGAAGAAGCAAATACATCTAGAATGGGTGAGTAGCAAAACATAAAAGTGGTTGTGTGATGTTTCTGAAATAACATCCCTGGATGACGGAACTGCTACTATAGCAATGTAGCACTGTGAACTGTTCTCCTCTTTGGTAACAGAGACCTTGATGCTTGTAAACATTTCAGCCTCCATCAAAGCCCAAACTCAAGACTTAGTCTTTTACCAAGCATCATTTTTCATCACTCTGATCACAATGTCATTTTAATCACGATGCCAATAATTCTTTGTTATTCAATATGTTGCAAAGACCCAGCATTAAGTGAGTCCCCTTAGATTAGAATGAAAGCTTTATAAAGAAGTTTCTAATGTATTTAGATATATATTTTTTGTTAAATATGATTTCAAGTTCATTTTGAAGAAATGAAGAGCAACTTTGGACTTAACACTTGACAACATTGTTACAAGTACAGAACATCACTGGCCTCTGCCTTTTTAATTTGATTTAAAAAAAAAAGTTAACATGCTGATTATTTTATTTACAGTTTTTACAGATCTGTAACTTTTTACATGAGTTGAATAAATGTCTGCTCAAACTGTGCACGCTCTCTCCGAAGTGCTTGAACATAATTCCAAAAGAATCAAAATCCAAATCTCATTCTCAGTGCTTAAAATAATCCGTACTTGTTTTCGACAAACTAAGTAATCTGAACCACATTCCGTAACATGTCTCATTTCAAAATGCAGTAATTGATTTCCAGTCAAAGCAGAGTGGCATGGATATGACAGTGATGCTGCGTTAACTCTCCAATATACCCTGCAGCTATTTAACTTGAGGGTTAAGACAGGGTTGCCCTCTATTGTCCCCCAGATGTTGTATACACAGATGGAAGCTGCTGATCAGGAGATGGCTCTGGTCTGATCCCAAAACATGACATGCTCTCTCAGCCTTTGAATCCTTTAACCTCAATGCTGAATTGACAGGTTTCCCTGCCTTTTTTTTCCAGAATGCAGTACAACTACAGAGGGGAGATTTTTGCTTTATCTGCACAGTGGAATAAAAGCTCAAAGTGATTTGCTTTTTGAAAATGCACAGCACAATAATTATGTATGTTACTGTATGTATGGATGTTAGATTATACAATACTTGAGAAACTAGATAATCATGCTTTATGTTTGTATACCTTAATGTTGGTGTAAATTTTGGGCATCAGTTGAGCAAAAAAATTACTGTGTGCTTAGAGGTTCAGTGTCTACTAAAATAAAACAGCTGCTGCACTGGCAGCTGTTTACATTTGTGGATAACATTCATGTATAGTATGATTCTGGACACAAATCAACTAGTTTAAATATCTCAGTGAAACAACAGCATTTTTGATGGATGGGTATAATTTCCTTTTCAGCTCAAAAGTTAACAACAAAAGAATCCCATTTATTCTGGAGATTATACTGTATCATAGTAGTGATCTGAACATAGGAGTTGTTTCACCATAAAACCAAACAACACCTACAGTAAGCCTGTGTTTGTGTCAGATTGTCAAAGCGTTTTGCTTATAAATGCTCTGTGTGCATAAAAATCTCTGGTATATCTGAAGATAAAGCTAAAAATATATTACTGTGAGAACTAAATTCTTTCTGCCAAACATAATGATGATGAGCGAGTCTACTCTCTTTTGCACTGCATCTCATGTCATCATCCAGCCACTATAACATCTACCTGTAAATGTGTGTATGTGTCCTTGTGTGTTAGCATTAACAAAATACAAACTAGCACTACTCATAATCCACAATGGGTAAATACTCATTCACCCTCTGTAAGAATGAGACATAACAGGGAAATACACAGCAGCTAAAGCATTTAAAAAGTGGTGCAGGGCAATTTAATGTAATGATCCAGTGGTCACATAGTAGGATTTTGACAGAGTCTTAAATTGTGACTCTTGCTTTTTATTCCTATTGAAGATGCAGTATAGATTCAAATAACAATTGACAATTAGTTTTTTCACACCAAAGCTAGCACATTAAAATAAAAGCTAAATTTAACTAGCAGTAACAATGAACTTCAACTGTTGACTTATGTAGTTCAAATCACGTACACAATCAGTTAAACTTTTGGACTCCTTTTCTCATTGAACTGAAGAGGAAAATGTGTCCAAACTTTTGATTGGTAGTGTTTGTTCCGCTTTTTTTAAAACTTCAGACCAAAAAGCATGCACACCTGTACATGTATCACTAACAAGATATAAAATGATTCAAATTAGAAAATTTGGATGACCAATGCCATTGAAAAATGAATAGTTTAACCTTTTGTTTTTAACCGGATCATTGATTTTAGGTCTAAATTAACATGTACTTTAATATATTTTGTTTCATTGAGAGGGCCAGGGTGCCTACTCACAATGGAGTTCCACAGCCATGTATACAGCACAGACAGAAACTGTCAAGTGTTTCTCCAAAACACCAAGCAAACAAAACAAACAAACAAACAAAAACTGCTATTTTACACAAATGTAGATGCTCTTTTTTTCTTGTTCACTTTTGAGCAATAAGCACATGAAGTGGAACAGAGAAACATAACAATGTCTTCCATGAGAATTATCCAGCAAGATCAGAGTCCATTTTTACAGGGGAACGTTGAACTTCAGATGGTGTCAAGTCGAAATCTTTACAAAAGGTAATCCAACAGATTTAAAGGTATTTTCAGTGGCTAAAAATGTGTTGGAGAGTCCTAGTGGCTGGGCAATGAGGACAAACTATGTTGTCTATTTTGCAGGGTGGGGCGGGATGGCAGGGGTACAGGCAATTTTCTCGTTCACTTTGAGAGTAAACAGACAGACACAAAGAGAGAGAGAGAGAGAGAGGGAGAGAGAGAGAGAGATCTGGCCACAAACCATATTAGTTCTTCACATTATAACAAGGCATGCCTCACCAAACCACACACCAGAAGAAGGACGGCTAGTCCATGGCTGGATGATATTCTTGCACCTGTAAAGATAAGGAATAAATAATAAAAATATGTCAGGAATAAAAATCAACTGAGAAAAAAATTAACTATGTTAAAGAAAATTAAAAACAACTAGTCAAAGATAACAGAAGATCAGGAAGTTGTAAGTTTCAATTAAAGCAACTGAGTTATGTACTTAAATACAATATTGAGCTATTTACGTCAATATTGAGACGTCTTTACTGCTCCTCTTGTCTGTTCTACGTTTTTTCATATCTTCTACATTTTCAAGTCTTTGAACAAATTCTACAACTATTAAAATGCCTCCAAGAGGGAAAAGAGCTAATAAATCAGATGCGAATGAGGAGGTTGAAGCAGAAGAGGATTATATTTCAGCGGTGCAAGTAACAGAGATGTTGAGTCAGCAGAAACAGATGTACATCACGCTGATGAACCAACAGAACTTCAAAGGTTTTGTGCAACTACTTATGGAGACAAATAACAAGAGACTCGACGACATGACCAGAGAAATACAGGAGATAAAAACGAGTTTGCAGTTTACCCAGCGAGATGTGGATGTGATTAAAGCAGCCATGGGTGAACAGAAAATACAAACCATGGAAACAAGGGATGATGTCTACAAAACTTGCGAAAGTTTAATAGCCATAATGGATAAAATGGAGCATTTGGAAGTACAGTCAAAGTGAAAAAACCTGATCTTCGAGGGAATCAAGGAGTCAGCTGGAGAAAGCTGGACGGATGTGGAATGTAAGGTGAAGGAAATATTAAAGGATAAACTGCAAATTCATCAAGAAATTGAGATGGAGCAGGCTCACAGAGTTGGGAAACCTTCTGATCAGGGACCGAGGGCGGTGATGGTAAAGTTGATGAAAGAGAAGGATAAGGCACACATACTGCAACAAGCAAAGAAGCTTAAAGGATCTAATATTTATATAAATGAAGATTACACCGAGTCTGTGAGGAAGAGAAGAAGGGAGTTGATGCCGATGTTAAGGGAGGCCAGGGCGAGGGCGAGAGGAGAAATCGTGCTTCTGCGATATGACAAATTAGTGACCCGACCTCGGAACCAGAATCCAGGACCCATGACCAGCACGCCGAGGACCAGTATGCCGAGACAACTGGTCACTGAACACAATTGGAGACACCGAACAACATTATCATGAACCGGACAATGATTTTGACCCTGAAAAAAACTTTTTTAAGAACTCTGAAAATAACTGCAAGTATTACACTGTTGCCTTATTGTGGCTGGTTTCCTGTAGGTGACAGACATGATGCAGAAAGCACTCTTTGACTTTCTGAAACACAAGTTTGAGGGCAGGTAAGGATGAAGTTTCATAGACATTACGTTTGCTCTGGTTTACAGTAAAAGGTTTCTGCTTATTAACGCAGCTGGATCACTGTTTCAGGATATCCATCACACGGGTGACAGCGGACATCTCCCTGGCCAAACGTTCAGTCCTCAATAACCCCAGCAAACACACCATCATTGAGCGCTCTAGTACCCGCTCCAGCCTGGGTGAGGCAACATGTTTTGGTTCTCTACAAACCAGAAACTGCCAATAACTGTACTGTTAAGAAAAACTGACAACAAATAGGATCGTATTTATAATATGGAGAGATATTACAGCAAGGGAGATGAGACAAACATTCTGTCCATCACATCACGTTGCTGAACATTCATTTAACTATGTTTCACTATATGTGTTTCACATTTGTATTGCTTTGAGTTTGATTTGAAAAGCTCTGTAGATAGAAAGATAGATATGGTTTTATTTTGGTAGATATGGTTTTCATTTCATTAAGCAGTGTATTTAATGAGGACTATTTTCATCTGCGGATTAATACACATTTGCTGCACTAGTGTGTCTGGCAACAGGGTTATGACTATAATATTGGTTCAAAATAATCTACATGTATATTCATAGTAATAAACTAAAACAACCTTGATAGTTTGTATGTAGTTTTTGGCTTTTACTTCATAGACGATTTTTATTAATGAGGTTGACTCATTGTAGGTATTGATTTTTGACAATAAGACAAATACAGAGTAAAACCAGACTTTTTCTTGAGTGTCTTAGATTAATGATATTAGTGATCATCTACCAGTATTTGTGGTTTATGAGGGCCAGTATAGAAAAGAGAGGCCCAAAACAAATCTTTTCTAAAAGAGGGTGACGAATGAACATGCTGTATAAATATTGTAGGAGAATAATTTGTGACCTATAGATGAAGCAGCGGTGAGCAAGACAGATAAACAAGGAGAAAACCAAAGGGAGGCAGCAATAATGATGACGGGGCTTTATGATGTAAAAGTTCTGATGGGAATTGCAGCTGCTGGACCAAAGGAACAAAGCAGATGTGTGTATGTGTGTGTGGGGCACTGATGTGTATGTATGGGAGAGAGAAAGCTCTCAGATCCTTCTCTGATGTTTTCTCTCTGAGGAACAGTAATTGTGATCCTGTTAGAATCTACAGCCCACAGGGACCAACATGAAGACATCACACAAACATACATGGCTGCTTGTTATTTGCCGCAATGGACCAATGAAGATGCCACACATGTAAAAGTGCTGTCACTCTACTTGCCCTTCCACATTTGGATCACTTCTTACTTCCTCCCTGTCTCAGAGGGAAGTGCTTTGCAGTATTGAGACTGACACTGGCCTCAGGAGGGAGCTCTTTCTCATGTTGAACAGATGAAGCAGCTGCAGGCTTGGCCTTATTTTTGTATACTACTGTAAATAAGTCTATTATGAAAGGAGTGAAACTATATAGTATACAACAAAACTGGGTAAAATGCTGTGCAATATCACAGAAATGTTAAATTACCTTTCAAAACATGTTATTTTTAGCTGAAATGTTGGTTATTTGATATTATGTGCAATTACAAATAACCAGGTTGGACATTCAAAATACAACATGATAGTAAACCTGTGATCTCTGCAATAAAAGTGACTGCACTGTGATGTCAGTGAAGGCTATGAGGTTATAAAAAATCCTGTAAACCCCACAGCTTTCTCAGTTTTGGCCTGAATTGTATATAATGCAAGTAAGAAACCAGATTATGTGTTTTCATAACGATTTGAGCGGGTACAAGAGCATCAGTAGCTACTCAACATAAGCTGAAACACAGTTGCTGCACTGGTTCGGAGGTACAGCAGGAGCCAACAACAGGTGTAGGTTAATACAATACAATGCAATAATTATTTAAATTATCTCTGTTAATTAAATTCAACAGAGGCAACTTCCTTTGAAGAAAGGCTGTTAAAATATTTGGGATATTTCCTTCACATTTACTTTAGAAAAACCCAAACCCCAAGGCTACATGAACATTAAATTTCACCCTTGAGCAACATGAAACCTTTTTGAAGAGATGTGTAAAAAAAACAAACAAGATAAATTTGAAACCCAACAGGGTAATGGCACACACACAGTACACTGGCGCTGACCCACCAATGAGTTGCATTTCATGTTTTATGTTCATGTATACAGGGTAACCATGAGGAGAGAAAATAAACCAAATGCTATTTTGACAGTCGGTACATTTCAGCATGTTCCAGGAAACACTTAACAGACTCAATATATTGTGGCTTTTAAGAGGGCATGAGCATCACCTAATAGTCAAATCTGTTTATTTTGTGGACTTTGTTTTCCAAGAAGAAAACAAACTCTGCTTGCAACCCCGCCTTGAACACAGGCAATTGTTTTGTCACTCAGGAAAGCTAAAGGAATCATTCAACATTTTGCCAAACATGCTGAGAATTGGAGGAAAGAATTGATACAACCTTTATTTTTTGGGTTAAGACACAAGCTAAAAAATAAGACTGGAGGATGGAAGAAATTGGCTCTGGATAAAGCATAAGCATACTAAATAGAAATGCAACAATTACAATTTATAGTGTTAGATGTATTTATGTGATGGAGCTACTTCTTAGCAAACAGTAGCTTCTTGGCAGTTTTTTCAGTTATTTATTGTTTTCAGATACGGTAAGCGAGTACAGGGTTTGGTACAGTTTTCTGTCAACACCACTGTCCCGCTATTTGTCAGTTCTAGCATGGAGCTCTACCTAAATCAAAAATTTATACTTTAGTTGAGTATTTCTATTTTCTGCTTCTTCATCCTTCATTTTCACTAGATTTCAGAGATAAGTATATTTTACTCCACTACATTTATTTGAGAAATTTAGTTACTAGTTGCTTTTCTAAATCAGATCAATAACAAAAACAAAATACATTATATCCTTAAGGCTTAAGTTATCTTAGAATGAAAATCCACAAGATTCCTAACAGTATGTAAAGTAAATAATAAAGTAATATTCTTTAAAGTAATATTCCTTACAGTATATTATTTTTTGGTATTTAAGTATATTTTTAAGCAGATGCTTTTAATTAATTAAGATTTTAAATCCATGACCTTTACTTGTAGTATGTTATTGTTACTTTTATTTAAGCAAAGGATCTGAGTACTCCTTCCAAATAAGAGGAGTGATGTGCTCATCCTGTTCTTGTTAAAATTCACACAGTGGCATTTTGGGAAGACAAGAAAATACTGTTACAATAGTCGACCATGCTGGAAAATAGACATATATGACTTTCTCTAGATCTTGTCTGGATATGAGATATCTAAGTCTTGCTATATGTTTGAGATGATTAAAGGCTGATATAGTTATGCCCTTGATGTGATTTGTGAAGCTCAGAACTGAGTCAATTAAGACACCAAGATTTCAGATTTTTTTTTTGTCTTAATAGCTCTGAAATCAAGCTAAACAATAACTTTCATTCTTTTCTTCTTGTGGCCAAAAACAATTTTTGTTATGTATTTAGTTAATTGAAGGACATTGCTCTAAATGAGATCAAGGGATGGCAGTCACTTGATGAAAGTGCTAAATAAATCTGAGTGTAGCTGTGATAAGCAGCAATATTGTCATGTATGATTTGTACAGGTTGAACAACAGGGGTCCATGAACTGAACTTTGAGGAACTGCACAGGTCCTTGTGATCGACTCAGATTTTTGAT